CTGCATCATTTCAATTTCAGTGTATGAGCTGCCAAAACTGACCGACTTCACCGATGAAAGGAAAGAAAAGTAGTAGATTGTTGCTTTGGAATCCTGCTGGGAATTACTCTACAACTATACACTGATTTCTGACATCAGTATATCTCCAGATGCTCCCAGAAAAAAAAAAAAAAGGAATTAAAAAAAAGAAGAAAAACAAAAAAAACAAAGTATGCTCTAGTTAACTTAAAAGCAAAACTTCAAATAATTGATCTGTATTGTGAAACATATAATTAAAAAACTTCAGTTGAGTATATTACAGTACCATCATTTCAATTCACATATTTGTACGCTATGACTCCAAAGGGAGAGTTTTTTTGATTGATCCCACATTAATATTACATATGACATTCTTACTTTAGGAACAGTATTTCAAGATGTTTGTAAAAAACAGAAAAATACAGTACTTTAAAAAAATGGCATTACTACTTTCTATTACATAGAAAAAGAGAAGCCATTAAAAAATTACTTAATTCAATATTAACATAACGAAAAGCCCACCGGCCTGAAAACTCTTTACTTTAGGGAAACTGATTTTAGGACTGTTACATTCTTGTATATTTACTTAAAGAGATGTCAGAATGATGAAATCTATAAAGTGGTAAAGGCAGTAATTGCCTGCTGGTGTGACCGAAATCCAAAAGAAAATAAATTAACTACACTGTAAGTAAAGGCCACATCTTCTATGGATTTTTTTTTGGTGGAAATGGGGGTTTGGTGTTTAGAAATATTTTCTGTAATTAAAAAATTTACCAAGGCATCAGGACTCTGAATACAAAAATTCAGAAACGCTGATTCCTTCCTAAAAGTACTTAATACCAACTTCTCAAATCCTTATTGCATCTCACACTCCCAGAAATCTGATAGAAAATGAACATCTGTAAAAGCGTAAATGTTCAGGGCTCAGTCCTCCTAGACTTGCATAATATCATCTAGTAGCACATATCACTTAATATCCTAAAGCTCATACATATGGATGCAACATAATCATCAGGGAGTAAACAACATCGGAATTCTTTTTAAATAGTCCTTTAACTTTTAACTTTCAAATTTGTTTTGGTTTTTTAAACACCTATACGTGCATATGAATCAAATAAACATACATCACAGAGCTGTGGAATTACCATACTTACAGGACTCCTCTGAGCGCATGAGTAGAATTTATGGTCATTTTCAATGTAGAAAGATTGTTTCTTCCTTCTGTCACATTTATTTCCCTTTGTAAGCAAACTATGCAATGAAATTCTGAATTCAAACAAATACCAAACACTGATTTGCAACAGGCTGCACATGGAGAGACCTCAATGGTCATTGAAAGTAGAAAAAGCAACAGCCCTGACTGTACCGGAGAAATATACATCATGCTTTGAAAGCTGAATCCACAGTGGAAAAAAAGGAGAACCTGTTTCCTATTAGCAACAATCCAGAATTTGTCTAGTAGGGCTGCTTGTGCATGTACACACATATTCTTTATATATATATATATATATACACACACATACACATACACACACACAACTGTGAAATTGTCAATTTTATTTATGGATATGGGTGCGTGTGTAAAAAAGTCCCTTTATTTCAGATCCAAATCTAAATGGACCAGGTACAATCAAATTTAAGGCTACGTTATACCGTCTTCATTTTAAAATCAGCACAGATGTTCTGTTTCAAATGTCCTGCAACTATTCATTTAACTTGTATTACACATAAGAAATGTTTGTTTCTTGTTTCAACTTTAGAACTCGTATGTTTAATAACTTTCTACTCCCCAACTTCTCCAAACCCTCACAACTTTCTCCTTTCATTTTGAAAATCTTTGACTATAGGATAAAATGTCACTCTGCCGCTGTTTCAAAGTATTTTCACTAAATTTTAAATTTTATTAAACCAAACATTGATTTCTACTAAAAGCGACCAATACAGGTTCTGAGAGGCTAAAACAAAGTTATATCAACAAAACCCACTAATTAGAAAAACATTTTATAAGTAGAACTTGGGTCTTTCTCATACGCTTGTTTCAATTTAGTGTTGCTTTTCTAAGGGACAACCCATCCGACTTCCTCAAAATGAAACTGAGATTGAAACACTATCAAAGATAGACACTGACCCCCACCATGTGCACATACAATATCCTAAAAGTCAAAGAGGATATCAATTACACATTAACCCTCTGCATTTAGACAAAGTGGAGCCAGGGAGCTTTATTCATTATTTTTAATTAATTGTCTTCTAATCAAATAATATATTGCTCTGAATTATGTGTCCATCTCCCATACTCCATTTCTAATTCTCCTTCTCCCTTAAATCCTGCCTACACTACTATTCCAGAATAGGGAGATTTTCTTCGGGAACTAAAAATCATTTCCTTTTATGGTAAATTGTCTTTACAAAAGGCAGTGCCCTTAACTCAAAAGAAAGGACCAAAAATACCCAAAACAAGATTAAAAAAGTAAATGAAACAAGCCCCCAGAAATCTTGGCGTGAAATGGTAATAGCAGTTTTACTCTCTGAAGTCATTGCAGCCTGCTTCTACAATACCAACCAAGGGAAATATGTCTAACCTTAGGAAAAAAAAACCCAAGGAGCACTAGGGCATATCATAAAACTGGCACTGGAGAAATAATTATTAGACATTTTTAAGTTTATTAGTAAGGATGAGCTTGCCAGATGTTAAAAAATAAGCCTTTAAATGGAGATGGGGAATATTTTCACAAGATAGATTCACATGAAAACATAGATCAGCATCCCCAGTGCAGAAATAACAAAGTTATTTGACAAGCTGTCGTAATGCTTCCCTTACACCTTACACATCCTGCATCTCTGCTTATTTCCCCGAGTGTATGCTACAGAACATCCAATATGCAGTTCATTCACAAACATGGTCCTGCCCCTTCTTTTCCTTCCCTCCAATATGCTTGAATTTATTCATTTTATTTTGGCATCTTGTTTACTTTCAGTTTCTGTGGATGTTCACTGCAGATACAGGAATCTGCACACATAGAAAAGACTGCAGAACAAAAACATTCTGAAGCAAAGATTTCCTTCTGGTATGAAATGCGTACACCTTTCTGCATAGCTATTGGAATGGACACCTTAGGTTTGTCTATTGTAAAAAACAATAAAATTCTGAACAGATTATCTTTCTGCTTAAGGTCTTCACTCACCGAGTGGAATTAACCTTGAAAAACAGGCAAGTTCTTAAGTCCGCAACAAACTATTATCCAGCCTGATTCAAAACAAAATGGCTTTAGAACATTCTTGTTTTAATACTAAATGCAGTGAATATTTCAAAAATTATCTCTACGTTGAAGAAATAAAAAGCAATAGATATAGCTAAGGCAGTCAGCACAGAAGCTACTGCCAAAACTTGTTTTATAATCACGAGTTTTCCATTGAGAAAAAATTATTTGCAATTGAAGTATTGTATGGATGTTTTGTTTAATCAGTTGTTTCTTATCCGGAGCGTAAGAATTTCCAGTTATCCAATCAGGTCACTGAACTTCAAGTGGCTCCAAGTCCCAACAGTTCACTAATACCATTCTGTCTCCCATATATTAAATGAGCAACCATAAAATAAAAATGAGATAATTCTGAACCGAGGAGACGAGGAAGCATATTTACCTGAAGCATCTCCAACTTTAAAATCACTGTCATCAGAGCTATCATAATCTAAAGCTTCCAGCAGCGAAGCTGCCAAAGGCTTCACTTGTCTCCTCTTCGAACTGCGGTCCACTGCAGGAAAAAAAGGCATAGTATCGTTACTAGGTGGCATAATGAGAATTCAGCGTCGTTAAAGATATTTAAATTAGAAGGACAGGCAGAATGGCCGTGACAGGCAGGGGCAGTCTCCGCCACACCGCCCCAAGAGCTGCCGGCAGAGGCAGACGGCACCGGGGTCCCGGAGGCATTCCTTCCCGCAGGTGGGGGG